CAAAAATTTCTCAATGGTTAGATATCCTAAACCTTTAGGCATTCACAGTGTAATCTTAGAGAAGCTCTAAAGTTTAGTTTTTGTTTTGAAGGATGAAGGGATTAAGGAAAGTTTTCATTAAATTAGAAAAGTCAAATGTTAGATGGATCATATAATGAATATTTTCTTAATTAAAGTGGTAGGTCTTTAAATGTATTGAAAGGCATCGGATCTCTACCTGTTAAAGAAACGGTACTAATCTATGCCACACAAGGCCAGTATGTTTTTATACTTATGAAAAAGTAAAAGTTCTTTTGAAAAGTTTAAATATGTTGGTGTTCAGGTTGTCATATAATAAAATATTTTCATATTAATGAAAATTGCATTAAATTAAAAGAAAAAGAGGTTTTGAACTATTAGTTTTAAGAACCTACTGGTTAGTCAATAGATGGCATCCTTCATTCTATAGACATACATGAGATGCCTCTGTTGTGCCAATTGTGGGCAGGCGCTGGGTATGAAGTAATCTAGAGAATCTCTACACTGTTGTGATTTATTTGTATCTGCAGAATAATTAGATTCCTTGGTAGTGAGAATAGGACCCATCTCATAGATGGGAGGACCGAATGAGATAACGCATTAAATGTGGCTAGCACGGCCTGGGACTAGTGTCTGGCATTTCATAAAATATTAGCATATATACACTTACTCAATCCCAAGCTCCCACAATAGATTTAAACAGAACAGAGTCATGTGACTCCAAGTAGTGATATAACAAAAGCTGTAGCAATAAACTGTAAATGGGAAATATTCTATGCAAATCATAAAAAAAAAAAACAGAAGGATTATCTAGACATGCAAGTGAATTTAGAAAGCAGTATCTGTGTCAAGTAACCTTTTCAAAGCTCATAAAAGCCATCATTTCTCCCTTTGAACGAGATTTTACATTCTTTGATTAATCAACAGTGGAAATAAAACAAATCCATATTGTCATATGATTTGTTCCCAAAAACGAACTAAAAAAAATAGTTCTAAATATTTGGGACAGAAAAGCTTTACTGTGAATGCCTGAAAACACTGAAACCATTTGAGCCTTTACTGGGGTTCCCTGAGATAGGCAAAGGTGTATCATAATTACCATCTTCTGCAAACACAAAACAAAGACTCAGCAAAATTAAATTACTTGTTCCAGATCATACCTACAGCAAAAATTAAAAAAAAATCTTTTAACTCTAGATTTGGTGTATTTTTACTTCATCATGATTCCTCTATGCCAATAGCTGTCCTTTAAATAAATATTCATCATGAACAGTGAGAGAACTCTTAATCAAAGTCAACCTATAATGGAAGGCACAACGAAAATAATTTGAATAGCTGGTCGGTTTTTTTTTTTTTTCTTAAATTTTATTTATTTGTCAGAAAAGAGAGAGAGAGCATGAGCAGGGGGTAGGGGCAGAGGGAGAAGCAGGCTCCCCACTGAGCAAGGAGCCCAGTGTGGGACTCCATCCCAGGACCATGGGATCATGACCTGAGCCAAAGGCAGATGTTTAACCAACTGAGTCACCCAGCCATCCCTTTTTAAAATTTTTTTTAAGCAGAAAGGACTAAAGTTCCATGGAATGTAATAATAATAATTTTAAAAACAGTCCTACATTTTTAAGAAAATCCACCTTTTGATGTGTATCAGTTGGCTTCTCATTTGTTTAGCATTGGTTCCAGGTAGAGAAGTAAATCGGCCATGTATCATGGCCAGTAAAAAGGATGGTAAATATCAAATAATTTCCCTAGGGAAATTAACCCTTCTATAATTTCTGTTTAATTAGCTAGGAAGGGCTATAAGTGGCAGGACTTTGGTTCTGAGCAGAAACCAAAAGACAGTACACAGAGCAGAGAACTAGACATCAGTAGACTCAGCATATCAACCCTATGACCTTAGGCCACACAGAGGTCTCCACTGTAATAAGGGGCCAATAATGACCATCCCAAACAGCTTTGTCTGGGAGAGGAGACAGATCAGTGTCTCAGTGGTTAGAAGGCCGAGGGGTTACTGGTTAGAGCATTTGCTACTTTGTTGATCAGGAAATGAGTTTTCAAGTCATTATCTTTCAGAATAAACCACAGTATCAGGCTAGAAACAAGAACCATTTCTTTCCAGAATACAGTCCCTAAAGAGGGGAAAAGCATTTATTATTCTTTTCTTAAAGAAAACAGTATAAATAAAGCTTTTATTTTCACCATTCCAGATGGCAGCAGGGTATAATTTGTACTGTTTTGACATCATGACTGTATTCAAAATCAATCTTCCTGCAAGTGTATTGAATAAAGGACTGAAAACAGAAAAATAAAAAGAAAAGAAATAAAAGCTAAATCAACGTTTTACAGCAAAGTTGGGCTCCTGGGCCATTATCAAAATGATATTCATATGAATGAAATTGAAAAATTATGTATATAAATAAAGTGGTTTCTCATTATAAGTCAAAGGCTACTCTAAGTCAGAAAGAAATTATCTAAAGCAGAAGAAAACTGTCAGTTAATAAATGATATCCCAAATGGAATATTTAATAAATATAAGATCTGGCCCCCCAAAAGTAATTATGAACAAGATATGTTGAATATTTAGTACAAGTTCCTTTTTTCAAGTTATTATGTACAGATGGTATGCTTGTCTTAATATGGCTGTAAATCAATCAGAGAAGCTTTTATTTCAGAGAGGATTTAGGTATCTCTTAAGGGCAGTTACTGGGCTCTAGCGTCTCCAATGATTTCTCATAGAATTATGCCATGCAAGAATAGAAAATTGGACACTGATAAGCTGATAGGAGCTTCATTAGCAGCTACTAAATATTCAGCATACTAACCAACTACCCACAGAGCATTCCAGAGCAAAGTCCATTTTCTGAAATATTCTTCACATGTTGAGGAGGTTGTAAGGCACTCTTGGCACAGAATAAAGCACACTTATTTAGAAGTAATGTATGCAATTATCCTACAAATCACAAAGCAATGTCTACATAGCAGAGCACAAACCGTGTTAGATTATATTATCATTTGTTATTTATTTATTTATTTATTTTTATTCTTATGTTAATCCCCATACATTACATCATTAGTTTTAGATGAAGTGTTCCATGATTCATTGTTTGTGCATAA